TGACTCTTTGAAGCAGTTGTAATACCCTGAACAGAATGTTAACCCAATCAGTGGTACCACTAGAGCCCAACAACTACCATAATGGTCTCAGGTCCCACAGTCAAATCACTCATAGCCCCATATATATGATGACCAAAGGTATTCACCACTGAGATGATGGAGGTACAGCATAGAATCCGAGTGAAAGAGGAGTCCCTGTGGAAGGTCAGGTCCTACTCATGTTCTTGTTTGTAAATGACATTACACTGGTTGCATCAACTCTTAAGAGTCTTGAGGCCACATGTGGCCTTCTAAGTCCTTGGGTGCAGCCTTTAGACTGAGTCCAAGTTTTATGAACAAATCCTTTTATTAAGTTTGGATTCAGTCCAAGGGCTACACTTGTGGACCTAGAGGACCACATGTGGCTTTGAGGCTACAGGTTCCCCCACTTAAGACACTTCAGAGCCTCCAATAAGACATCTAAAAAATCCAAAAGAGTTTGACCTGATCACCCACCCAAGAAAAATCAATTAGATGAAGAAAGTCTGTTGCCCAGATTAAGACATGCATTTGGATGCACAATTTGGATGTCTGTCAGGAGGTCTATATCTGTATCAGAAGGTACACATGGACAAATCAGGTCCAGAGGCAAGGAGGAGGAAGAGAGCTACCTGGATTGCCTGCAAAAAAAAATCAAGGTTCTTTTAATGATCCCAGGCTTCCCACTGAAGCAAAAGCCCATGACTTTTAAGACCAAAATATTAGTTATTGTTGTATAACATTATAGAACAACATGGGATGCAGTAGTCTGTGAAGATTCCAGCTTGCTGATTTCTAAGGTCATTCCTATATCTAAAATGCTATAATTCTATGATACAACATAGGAAAAAGCCAAAGCATAGAAAAAGAATGGTAGCTACATTACAAGAAGAATGCTTTCTATTTCAGGCCCTATTCTAATCTGATCCAGGACATACCCCCAAATGGGTCTATACATTCAAATTTGTTATTTTAAGTAGGATCACATCTATAGTCAAAAGCAACAGGTTATAAACTGAACTATAGCAATACTTCCAAAGGAAAGTCTTTCACATATGGTTGATTGTAAGGAATCCCAAGTACATCTGCACTAGGCTATATGTACATGTACATGTATAAATATATGATTCATGACACATATGTGTGCACGCATGTGTGTGTATATATAATGATCATTCAGATCTAGAACCTAACCCCCGAGACTGAACTCTCTACCCTTGGGTAGTCAATAAACTAGGGTTTGACACTGCCCTGCTGAAGAGCTAACCTCGTATGTAATGAACTGCACCAAAAGCTGGCCTCAGACCATGTTCAGGCACCTACCAGGAAACCGGGGCCTAACCAACATCTTGCAGTCTGACTCGCCTTGCTGCCCCATATGTATATACTTGCCACCTGTTGCTCTCACTTTGGGAACAGTAATCAAGTCATTGCTACTTCAAATGGCTCCTAACCCCCAGTCTGAAGCTCCCTTCTCTGGCCCTTGCTCCTTCTTGAAGGCAGGAACAGTCTCACTTTTGTATGTGTCTGCCCGGTGCCTGGCAGAAAGTAGGTACTTAATAAATACTTGTTACTAGCTGTGTGACCCTGGGCAAGTCACTTAACCCCATTGCCTAACCTTAAAAAAAAAAAAAACTTGTTTGTTCATTCATTCAAACTAAATTTGAAATCTGACTCTGCTACTAATCACCTCACCTCTCTAGACCTCAGTTTTCTCATCTGTAAACTAGGAGATTAGACTGGGTAACTTCTAAGATCTCTTCCAGCTCTACATTTGTGATCCTATGAATTGGTGAATTTGGGGTATAAACAGAAAGATAGTTCATAATTTTGCTAACTGTTCTCTATTACAGTTTTTAAAAAGAGGCAGGAGGCATACATGGCAATACTAATCCAGGATTCCTGTATTCTGATACCCCCTCTGACACCTACTAATTATAGGACCTTGGGTAAATCACTTCAATCCTCTGCCTCTCAGTTTCCTCACCTGTAAAATGAGGATAATTAGGCCTACCCCATAAAGTCATTTTACAGATGAAAGAGAAGATATACATGACAGTAGTTTTTAAACTTCGTCTTCTTTAGTCATGCCTGACTCTGTGACCCCATTTGAGGTTTTCTTGGCAAAGATAATGGAGGGATTTGCCATTTTTTCTCTCAGTTCATTTGACATCTAAGGAAACTGAGGCAAACAGGGTGAAGTGACTTGCCCAGAGTTAACAACTAGTGTCTGAGGCCAGATTGAACTCAGGTCTTCCTGACTCCAGGCCCAGCGCTCTATCAACTGTGCCACTTTTGGAACACTATAAAATCTAAAAGTATTTCTAAACAAATCTATACGTGCCATGATAGCTAAATTTCAAATTCCTGAGGAAATAATAAGTATGGGGAACAATGTATGTATAATATCATCTCTTGGTTTTGTATCTCCAGCACAGAACATGGTGTCTTACACAGGGTAGGTGTTTGATAAAGGTGTCTTGTCTTGAGTTGAAAATAGTGACAAGAGGCAGAGGAAATAGTGACTGTATAGAAGCTTAGTGTTAGACTCAATTAAGCCAAATCACCTTAAGAACAATTGAAGATAATCTTGGAATAAAATAATCAACACCTCTAGCACCTGGGGTTCATCTTCAGGCTCCTGGGGTATACCTCCAAGCACTTGGGGTTCACCCCCAAGCTTGAGGAGTTCATCTTCAGGCTCCAGGGGTTTACCCCCAAGGCCCCAGGTTTACATTACCCAAATTCAGGAGTAGTACATCCCCCCAATTCCTACACCCCCAATATCGCAGCCCCCCCTCCCTCGGAAAGACCTGGAAACATTCCACCTCCTCCACCAACCAATTGAAAAGCTTTTACTCCTCCCCTGCCAAGTTGGCTTTTATTTACATTTCATCATTTCCCCAAAGACAAGTTTGGTGCTTTTTGTACAGGGGTTTGAACTCTGTCCTCAAAGTTGATTAAATAGGTTTCCACTTTGTTTACACTGAGAAAAAAAAAAGACAATCAACAGATAAAAATGGGTAAAGATCTGCCAAAATTTAGGCAACACACTATTTTTGGATGTCAAGCTGAAGAGTTTATATTTTATTCTAGAAGCAATGGGAAGCCACTGAAAATTCCTGAGCAGGTAAGTGACCTAAAGAGACCTATGCTTTAAGGGAGATGATTTTAAGGCAGATGATTCCACCTGTGTGGAAGATGGATTGAAAAGCACGAAGATTTAAAAGATTTGAATTTATTTTTAAATGTATTTAAATAAAGCCTTGAGTCAGGTTGTAAGTCATGTGAGAGAAAAGAAAAATAAAGGACAGACACAAAAATGTTGAGGAAATAGAATTTAGAAACAAAAACGAAAGTTTGGCAGCTGATCAGAGAGTGTAAAGAAGAGGGAAGAATCTGGGAAACTGGGTGTCTATGGTGGTACTGTCAGCATAAAGATGGAAGGTAGGAGGATAAGTGAGTTTAGAGCAAAAGATAATTTGTCATGTTTTGGGCATGTTGAATTTGAGATGCCTGCTAGATATCCAAGTGTCCTGCAGGCAGCTGGTGATGTACAACAGAAGCTTGAGATAGAGGGTTGGGTATGTACAGATTTGGGGGTTGTCTGCACAGAGATAATTAAACTCCTAGCAACTGATGAGGTTGAGCAAGAATACAGAGAGAAACAGAAGGGACCCCAGCATAGAATACTGACACATGCCCACATATAGACGATCCAGCAGCTAGGTGGCGCAGTGGATAGAGTGCTGGACCTGGAGTCAGGAAGACCTGAGTTCAGATGTGATCTCAGACACTTACTAGCTGTGTGACCCTGGGCAAGTCACTTAACCCTGTTTGCTTCAGCATGAATGAAGAAGGAAACGGAAAACCACTCCAGTACCAGGTCACAAAGAGTCAGATACAACTGAAATGACTGAACAACAACAACAAAAGACAATCCGGCAAAGGAAACTGAGTAGAACCAGAAGAAAGCTGTGTCATGAAAATACATCGACTTCTACATCTACATGTTGTCCTTATCAATGGAACATAAGCTCTTTGAGATCATAGACTCCTTTTATTTTCCTTTTATTCCCCCGGAGTTAGCACAGTGCCTGGCACATAGTAAGCACTTAAATAATTGTTTGATTGAGGAAAAGAGAATATCCAGAAGGAAGAGAGGGGTGTTCAACACTGTCAAAAGTTGTAACGAGGTTGAAAATAATGGAGACTAGGGATAGCTAGGTGGCCTAGTGACTAGATCAACAGCCCTGGAGTCAGGAGGACCTGAGTTCAAATCCAGCCTCAGATACTGTGTGACCCTAGGCAAGTCACTTAATCCTGATTGCCTCCAACAATAAATAATTAAAAGGATGGAAACTCGAGAAAAAGCCATTGGAATTTTCAACTAAAATAGCATTACTAACCTTGGAAAGGGTGGTTTGGGGTAAGAGGTGAAGCAGAAAACCAAATTATAAGAGGTTTAGAAGTAAATAGGAAGTGAAGAAATGGAAGCAATGAGTATAGACTGCCCCTTAAAGGAGCTGAGCCATGAAATGTAGGGCAGGAGCTTGAGGGGATGTCAAGATTGGGCCTTTTTTAAGGACAGAGAATATCTGAGCCTATCTCTAAGCAGCAGGAAAAAGTCTGTGGATAAAAAAGGTTAGAAATTACAGAGGTGGAAAGGGGTGGGCATCATCAAAGGGACAATCTTCTAGAAGAAATGAGAGAAAATGGAATTAAGGGCATGAGTGGAGGGTTTGAACTTAAGAAAGAGAAGAGGGGGGAAAAAATTATTTTTAAAAAGGGGCAGCTAGGTGGCACAGTGGATAGAGCACCAACCCTGGAGTCTGGAGGACCTGAGTTCAAATCTGCCCTCAGACACATAATGCTCACTAGCTGTGTGACCCTGGGCAAGTCACTTAACCCCAATTGCCTCACCAAAAAAAAAAAAGTTATTAAAAGTTATTAAGAAAGAGAAGAGGAATATTCCTGTGCTGTAAGAAATGATCAGTGTGATAAAGACAAAGAAGTTTGGAAAGATCCACAAGAATTGATGCAGCAGGAAGTAAGTAGTACCAAAATAACAATGTATACGATGATGATGATGTAAATGAAAAGAACAATAACCACAAAACAATAAAAAGTGAATACTGCAAAATTATTTTAAAAAAAAGACTGGCTCAAAGGAAGAGCTATAAGAAAAGACTCCCACCCCACCCCTTAGCAGAAGGAGGTCCGTGAGGATTGTGCAATGCACATATTTTCAGATTTTTAAAAAAATTTTCTTATCAGTTATACTGATAAAATTACTGCTTGTTATATGGGTGGCATATATGAGAGTAGAGGAAAGTGGTGTTATATGGCCCTCCTGAAGGGGAAAGGGAAGGAAATATGAGACTGTGTTGACTGAAGGAACTAAATGTTCAGACTGTTGATGTCACTTCCTGGGCATCTATCGACAAAATAACCAAGAGAAGCCCCAAACTCTGATTCTATTCTGGTGGACCACGATGGGGAACTTAGGCAAGGGAGTTTTGCTAAGCTGAATCACCTCAAATAGTTCACAACTGGTATCCTTGCTCAATATTCTTCTCCTGGTATGGCTCTATAGTTTCCCTTCTGTTAATTGGTTAAAAAAAAAAAGGCACCACTTCTTCAGAGATTGGATTTAAAAAAGGAAAGGATGAGGGATGACAGCAAAGGGATTTGGTGGAATAGAATTGGGGAGGAGAGGGAGCGCGTACTGAGTGGCCTGATTTTTCTCAAAACTATCTGTGTAGAGAAAAGTAACTAATGAATAGCTATTCACATACAACCAGACAATGCTATCCGATTGGATAGAAATCCTACTGTGTAGTCACATAGGGCCTATCTGATGCTGCAGACAGACGACAAACCAGACCCAGAACTGAATGGGAGGAAGAGAACAGCTTGGATTCCACTTAGGAAATTATGCAAAACTTTCAACATCCCCAAACTTCTGACTAAAACAAAGCCCATTTTTTAAACATTTGTATTTTTCTGATGAGAGACAGCATAGGACAATGACTAGAGAGTGAGCCTAGGAATCAGAAAGACCTTGGTTGGAGACCTACCTCTGACATATTGGCTATATGGCTGGGCAGTTGCTTAACTCCTCAGCTCCCCCATAATTCTCGGAGATTATAAATTACAAAGGATTGTCCATATGTATCAGGGGAGGGAGTTTCCATACTAGGAGTGCCCTACGCTCATATAGTCACAAATGTGGAGCAGAAAAGAAAAATTATTCTAGGTCTTCTATATGGCTACAAATCATGGAATACTATGGGTCGTCCAAAGAGCCCTGGGGAGATGCCTGGGGTGAGCCCAGTGATAAACTGGGGACAAAGAGAATCTTAAAGATATCACCAAAGAGATAGACAATCCAAACAGAAGGTTTGCCAGTCATGTAGCAAGATATAGCACGAAGCCTGAGCGAAGCAGTGATACGTATTAAATGTCACAGGACTGCCACCAGCATTTTGGATAGATGCCCCATAGAGGACTATAAGAACAGACAGGCAAGAGTCAAATGGTAAAGATAGCTCTCAATCTGTGCCACTGGAGAGAGTGCATACTTTGATAAGATCATCAATGCATTTATCTATTAATATAATAATAACCTTCTGTAGATGGGCACTAGGTGACGCCATAGTGCACAGAGCTCTGAGCCTGGAGTTAGGAAGACTCATCTTCCTGAGTTAAAATCTGGCATCAGACACTTACTAGTTATGTGACCCTGGGCAAGTCACTGAACACTGTTTGCCTCAGTTTCCTCATCTGTAAAATCAGCTGGAGAAGGAATTTTAGTATAGCAGCTTTCCTTAAACAGATTAGACCTCCCCATAACATACACACAAACACACCAACATATACACCTGACAGGAACTCTGCAAAGCACTGAGTAACAGAAAGTACAAGGTAAGGGTATAAAAATAGCATAGGCAAAAGAGGATGAAAATGCAACAAAAAATAAAATTATAATTCTATCTTTCTTAGATGTATTATATTGGGCCAAGGTATTCAGGGATGGATGAAAGGCTGTACATTCCACAACATCAGACTAATTTATCGGTCAATGACTAGATATTAGTCTCCTAGTATAAGTTGTTTTTACTAACTCCAAATCCTGTTGCATATAATTACTGAACAGAAACAAAACCCCTCCAATTATAAATGCTCAAAGCAGGAAGTCTATTTTGAGGAATTATCCCAAGGCAATGGCAATAGGTTACCACAGGGTGCATTCATGATGTAGCCCCAGCAGAAGAGGAATGGGGGGGGGGGTGCTGGAACTATTAGCCCAGAGTGCAAAAAGTTACCCTGGGGAAATGTCAAATTATGTTGTGAGGTATTTGACTCTGATCACCAGATCCCAGAGGTCATTTCGTCCAAATATGTGGAAATCATTCTCAATATGAGATTTTTTTTAATGTAGATAATGTGAGAATTCGTTTCATTTGATTAAGCATAATTGCTGCAAGGGTTTTGTTTTTCTTTTTTTCCCAATAGGGCAAAAGTTATGAGAGGAAAGATTTTTTTTGTTAAGTGAAAAAAATAAAATTCAATTTATTAAAAAAAGGAATCATTTGAAATCCCTGAGACCTGAATTTTTTTTATATTTACTACCATTCTAATTACAAGTTTATATCAAAGACCCAGGCTACTCTTACTCACCAAGACAAAGAAAACAAAAACCCTCAAAGGTCAATTCAGCTTCATTCATTTTAAACTGATAATTTTTTAAGTTAAACTATTTTTCAAGTACTTTATCTCTCAAAAAAAATGAAAAGTCCTAATTCACCACCCAAAACACACAGTGAAGAACAAAGGAATTCACCCATAGTCTACATTCCCTTCACTCCACCCCCATCATTGTGAGCATCTCAAGTCTTTTGGCCATGAGAAGTCTCTCCAGTTGATATCTCTGAATTACTCAACTGGGTTCTGTAGCCTTGAGAAAACTTCCCATTCGGGGCCATGGGGTCATTTCCTGGCTCCTAAGTTGAGTGCTAGCTAACACAACCTTTTTAGAGTAAATGACAGTCTTCTGTCTTGTGGTCTGAGAGCAGAGAGGCTTTAAAGCAGTTTAAGATTTCACCGTCATTGGGGCAGCTAGGTGGTGCAATGGATAGAGCACTGGCTCTGAAGTCAGGAGGACTTGAGTTCAAATTCAGCCTCAGATACATAATACTTACTTAGCTGTGTGACTGGGCAAGTCACTTAACCCCTAACTTCCTTGCAAAAGAAAAAAGATAAGAAGAGGAAGAAAAAATGCCCCATCTTTATTTGGAAAAAGATTTCACTGTCATAAAAATCACACTAGCTATACATATCATCATAGAGTCAACTAGGAATAATTCTGCTTTTCAGAGACACCTTGAAGACAGTGATGTTCTATCAACTGGCAAAACAACAGTACAGAATATTTTTCATTGTTCCTAGAATAGATATTCTTCTGTCATCCATCTTTCTCCTCCACTTCAATCAAACCAGCAAACCTTGTATAATTAATTATTAAGTAATTCCTATTCAGGAATAGTGGAGATCTTTGAGCTCAGTTCTTTTCTATTCTCATTGGTGATCTGAAAAATAAAATCCTGCACACTCATGGTGCTCAGTTTCTGGTAAATGGCAAACTACCTGCTGATCACCATTCATACTATGAAGTAGGGAGGTCGCCAGAAAGTCCGGAACATCCTTGGACTTTCTAAAGTCCCACCACCTTTCCCAATTTACTTCTTCTAGCCTAGATAGCCTTCCAAATTTCAGATCATTAGTCTAAAAAAAAATGCTGCTTGTAGAAAAATTGCAACTTCCCTACAAGTTTGAACTGCCTATAAGAATATAACAAGGGAGGCTAAAAGCAAGACAAATAATTTAGTAAATGCTTTTTTTAGCTTATTCATGGATTTTTTTTGAGGTCCTGGGCGTGTGGCCACATAGGCTCACGCTATTTTGCCAAAAACAGTACCTTGTAGGTGTTCAACAAATATTTGTTGCTTTGATAACTGTCATAGGGACAGAAGAGAGGTAAAAATTTTTTATTTTTTAAGTTGAAATTTTTTTCAATTTTTAACATTTTTATTTAAAGTTTTGAGTTCCAAATTCTATCTCTTCCTCCTTTCTTCTCCTCCCCCCTCCCTGAGATGGTAAGTAATAATATATAAGTTATATGTGTGCAATAATGTAAAATATTTCCATATTCGTAATTTTGCATAAGAAAACTAGAATAAAAGAAAAAAATGAAAGAAAGAAGTGAAAATAGCAATGCTTCAGTTATTTAATCAATATCAGTTCTTTCTCTGGAGGCAGATAGTATGCTTCATCGTTAGTGCTTTGGGATTGTCTTGGATAATTGTGTTTCTGAGAATAGCCAGGTCATTCACAATTCTTCATCAAACAATATTGCTGTTACTGTATACAGTGTTCTCTTGGTTCTGTTTATTATGCATCAGTTCAAATAAGTCTTTCCAGGCTTTTCTGAAATCATCATACTTGTCATTTCTTATAGTACAATAACATTCCATTACAGTCATATACCACAGCTTGTTTACCCATTCCCCAACTGATGGGCATCCCTTTGATTTCCAATTCCGAGCCACCACAAAAAGAGCTGCTATAAATATTTTTGTGGAAATAGGTCCTTCTCCCTTTTGTTGGATGTTTTTGAGATATAGATCTAGTAGTGGTATTCCTGGACCAAAGGGTATGCACAGTATTATAGCCCTTTGGGCATAGTTCCAAATTGTTCTCCAGAATGGTTGGATCAGTTCACAACTCTACCAACAGTGCATTAGTGTCCCAATTTTTCCATACTCCTTCCAATATCCAACATTGAAAATGTTTTTTTTTTAAAAAAACCTTTTTTTCATACCTATCCTACAGAAAGGTGACAAGAGGGAAAAAGTCAAAGTACAAATGCTTACCTGAACATAGACTTTTGCAATAGGGTAAACTAGAAATTTCTAAGAAAATCACTGAGAAAAAAATGGCACAACTCATGGAAAATTTGAGTCACTGAAATAGAACACCCTTTCATTA